CTCAGGCCAGAGAACTTTGGATCAGACCGAAGATGTGCAAAACGCTCATCATCCAATCCCAAAAGCTTTGAGCCTTTCTTCTTCGACATCTAAAAATGTACTACTTCAAAGCAACTGTCTCATATAGTAGAGGCGCCGTACTTATCCAGTTGAACTCGTTCATCCGACTCATCCATTCGCTATTGGTCAATTCATGATTTGACCCGCAATGAATGGTGTGAACCAGATGAACCGGTTAAACAGGATAAGTATGGGCCTGCCGTTTTCAGTAAGAGAATATCAAATCAAGATGTTCAGGTGAGTTCATATGATATTCCATCAAATTTTCGACATAAGGGAAAACTGGAACAACGTATAGAAGATAGAAGAAGAAAGGGGGTATAAAAACGTTACAAACAAATATTTTCAGAGGACATTTGAGTCTTGTTTCGTCGAATAGCGGTAGTAACAGGATAACAAACCAAACGAAATCAAAGCACATCATAATGGTATCCCCTCTCAACCCTTCAAACTCCCTATCTCTCAGTTGCTTTGTTCACAGTCTGTGCAAAATCAGCTAATCCCTGCTACATATAGGATCGAGTATACAATGTAATGGTACAATCAACTATTACTATTTTTGCGTAAACAAGTGAAAAAAAAACAGACATGAGAACCAGAAAGCAGTCTGACTGCATCATCTGCGGATTATGAATGTAGTACTACAGCAATGCAAAACGAAAAACACTGAAATGAAATCAAAATCAATGAGCAACCCTGCAAAAAAAATGCACAGTAACTTCATCACAGCACGGACACAAACTTCGAGAGAATTAATAATAGAGATCTAAAAGTTTCGTTTGAATGTAATGTATGAAATCTTGCTGTGTTTTTTCTACGAGAAAGCGCGAGTGTATTTTTGGATGTGTATTCAGTGTATTCAGTGGATTTTTCCACTGCTATTTACTAGATACTAGGCCGCACTTTACAGCTCTTTGAAGGAGACATACATGGGTCAGACTTCATTTATTCCCACAAACCTCCAACATTATCAACAACTCAGTAACTAGGATAACAACCATTCATAAATAAGATCTTCATGGACTATTCAAAACAATTAACAGCTCGAAGTATAAAGACGAAGGCAATCAAACAAAAATTTTTGGTGAAAAACCGATTGCCTAATGATTCTTACTATCTAAAAATTATTTAATCGCAACACCACGCAATGTCGGAGCGGTCATTTTCGTTGTGCCACCAACAAGGAGAGGGCAGTCTTTCCAAACAGCATAACCGTCGGGGCTGACTTTCAGATCTTCTGCTACAGTTTCCCAGATCTAAAGCCAGAATCTATAACTGATTTTGCTAAAGGAACTCGAGCTGCGGACCTTCTTTTTCGGGTTCAGCTGCGCGTCTGGTCTATGTACATATGGCGGACAAAGTACGGGCGTGCCAGGTTTCGACGATTGATCAACTTCCATTATTTCAACCTATAATCACAAATCTAAGTGAGTCTGCTAACATTTGCTTATAACCTAGCATACCTTTTCAGGAGAAGATGCACACATCACCATGGCTTTAGACTCGACTCCTCGCATTTTAGCAGGTTTTAGATTGCAAAGAACAACAACGAGGCGATTTTGCATCTAGAAATTCGAAAAACATCTTGGGCAAAACTTGAACAAATTTTTGCCGAATAAGGAGTAATAAAAGAAGAAAGAATAGTTGAAGAAAGGATACCCTAAAATCTTACAGATAAGTCCGCTTTTTTGTCA